TCTCCATCTGTCCCCAATTAAATGTTACTGGACTATTATTTTTTTAAATTCTGCTTTGAAGTTATCAAAGTTATAAGTGGCATCATTCACACCTACTGCTGAACACAGAGCCTTTATTTACATCCATGCAGTCGAGTTCAATTCAATTCTGTTTTGTAGAGCCAGCCATAACCTTTTAAACACATTTGTTCTTAAGAAAGAAACTACTTCTCAAAAGTTGTTTTTCTTCATTTCCTTGCAATAAGAAGTCTTTCCGAAGTCTTTCTGCAACTGGTAACTGCTTTAAGCCTCCGAGGCACAGTCATCACTTAATTATGGGATTTATCCACACCTCACTAAAACAGGGTGTTTGTTAAAGATCATTAGAAGCATTAAGATCTATAAATAAAGATTATATATAGCAGCATCTTCACAGTTTGATTAATGGAACTTTGAACTAATAATTGTAAACAAGGATCAAGCAGGCCTGGGAAGACTTCGTTTCAGAAAGAAAAAGGAAGAAAGGAAGAAGATGAAAGAGAAAAGAGCAGTTCTCTTCTTTGTGTTTTAATTTGTCTTAATTGCTTTGTTTGTTTAGTTCCAAATCTTATTCTTATTCAGTGGGCACTCTCTTTTCAACAAAAAAAGATAAGGAAAGAAAAGAAATGAGTATGAAATATAACAGAAACTATCTATACATTTTAGAAGATCATTCCTTGTCTGAATTCGTATTTATTTACAAGACACTTTCAGCTGTAAAATGAAAAGAAGCCGCAAAATCAGAAATGAAACATTATGTGCTTGATAAGATATTTTTGATTTTATAGGGCAAAATATACTTATCATACAAATCAAGTATTTTTTAAAAGTGTAACCAATAAAACAATAAAATACAACCCCTATATATTTTCTATTATTCCATTTATCCACCCAAATTGGAAGATGACATTTTGAATTTCCTTTACAAAACTCCAAATTAAATCAACAATAAATCACTACTTATGTTTTTCCTCAAAATAAAACTGTTTTTTTTTTAAAAAATCTGCTTATATTTTATGCTTGTGTTTTTAAAACAGAGGGCATAAACTAACTGTACTGAATTTAATAGGAATGAGTCAAATGTATTCTTAACTATTTTGTTGAATTAAATAGGACATAAACTTATTTTATTTATGTTTATTTTCACTAAGTTTCACTTGTAGCATTAAGTTGAATAAGTTCATTTATAGTTACTTATGCAACATATTATAGGGATGGAAATATATTTCTATGGCTACAATTACATTCTTTAATTTCCATATATCTTTGAAACACCGTGTTCCTTCCAAATAAAATTCTGTCAACAAAATTCTTATTAAGATGCTTGTGAATTTACTGCAGAAGCAGATTATAGGAAAGATTAATCAACAATAATTTCAGGTTTCACCTATACCGCACAAAAAGTGTAGGAGAGGTTTTAATGGGAATTATAATCAGATCACAAAGTAATTAATTTGTGACTGTAAGTAGAGAGGCCAGATCTCAGATACTAATGTCTACCGCTATAAACTTTAATGCATTTAAGGGAACGTTTCTTGGCACAAGTGGATGAATCTGTCTCTCAAAAGTCTGAATATCCATTGGTCCCAGTTACAGGGTTTTTTCCATTACCTAAACCAATGGCCCTGTAGGGGGAATTTGGTGTGAGGAATGTAGTTAAGGAAGTTAGAAGGAGCACTTTCTTTTTTTATATAGGATACTGTTATCATTCCTATTAGAGCCTAGATAAGAAAAGGCTTTCTATTGAACCAGTGAACATTTAGAGCTCTAAGCAGTAAACTTTGTTTGTCTAAGCCTTGTTATATAAGCAACTGGATGATTTTTGTCAAGGAAGAATTAGCAGTGAGGAACAGAAGAGGATCCAAGAAAAATCAGTGTGAGAGAAGATGAAGTTGACTGTTAAACAATATGAGAAGTCTTTTTCAGATTTATCAATTCTGTGTTAGATTCCATCTCTGATAAATGCATGTGGATAGTAGGGATGTGGAATCCTACCAATGCATTTGGTGATGCATTGTTGCATCACCAAATCACTTTGTGGTTTGATATCCTTGGCGGTGTACAGATAATACACATGACCAGGTCAGTTAAAGATGCAATTTGCACAGCATAGTAGACTTGATCAACATTAATTCTTCTAGAATATTTCTCAATTATCACACCTAAATATAAATTGGCCAGTACAGATTTTAAATATATTTTTATTCAGAGGGCTTAAGCACAAACCTTTCAAGCATTTAGCAATTTCTGTTTATATTTACTTCAGATTAAATCCCACAGGACTGCAATGTTAATAGAGGTAACTAGACTAGAATGCTATCCTTCCACATATCAATTAATTTTAAGCATAAAAGTGGTAATATGAATGTATATTACTTCTATTTGGCTAAAATGCTATTTACTATTGCCCCTTGCGACAATATAGTTAATACATTCGTGCTCACTTGTGAATACAGAATCATTCTAAGGCAGTTTTGCAGAAGTATGTAGATAATGAACATTCACATTAAAAAATACTTTGTTTTTTCTCCCTACATCATTAAGAAAGCAATTCCAAGTTCGGCCTTATATGAAATGAAAAATTCCTTGAACTTTGGCGGAGAAGAAATTTTGGTATTCTGGTAAAGATTCCTACAGTCAACACCGTATTTTAGAAATTTAATAGCAAGAAGGGAAATATGGTAAAACTGAACAAGAAGCACAGCACTTTGAAACACAGCAGTTGTGCATAGCTGATTTATGACGCCTCTGAAGTTCAGTTGTGCAACACATTAAGTGTTCACAGCACATCCTGAACATATATTATTGCTTGTTAACAACTAAGATTTCAAGGTAACTATAAATGGATCATATGATACTTGGGTACAGAGACTTTTAAGAAGAAAAAAACCCAAATGTTTAAAACAAAACAAAAGTCAACAGAATTATAGATTTAAAAATAAGAAGGTGAAGAAAATAACATGTGCCAGTGATACAGCATAAGTTGAAGAAAATCAACCAACTAAGCACACATAGTAAAACTATGCAGAGAAACTAGATCTAGAATATACTACGGTATTTAACTATTATTAAGTTGAAACAAGATCAGCATACAAAAGCATACTAAACCCGGATAAACCCATTGTATTGAAGAAATAAATTCCAGAGAAAATATTAAATTCAATACAAAATTTTATGTCAAGAATCTAACCCAAATCTTTTAAGAGTGCTATAAAAAGCAGTGCTTCAGATTCTTCCATATTAATTTTGAGGCAAACAGGATATAACATTCAAATTTATTACTCTAAAAATATTTGTTAGCCAACGAAACCTGTAGATCACTATTTCTTACAGAAGCCTTTCTTGGGGCAGCAGTATTTAATATCACATTCAAAATGTATAACATTGTTCTGATTTTTCTGCTCCAGAAAACAAATCAACTTCTGATCTCTAATGAAACCTTCTTTTAGGCAGGTTTTTGTCACTCTTCTAAACAAACCTGAATCCCAAATTGAATTTTATTTGGAATAGGATCCCACAAAACTCAATCTTCTTTTTATGCTTTGAGCAAAAATGATTTTAACACAAAAAAACAGATTAAAATATCAGACCCCAAGGTAAAATAAAATTAATCGTTTATACCACAAAAGACATCTGTGTTTTGTTGATAACCGTATTACACGGGCAAGCTGCCATTCACTTCAATTTTACTTTCATATTTTAAAGAGAAATGTTCTTTTCCTGGGTTCTTTGAAGTAAATACTAGAGTTCATACATTAAAAACTTCAAGCAGATGCCCAAGGACACATTTATAGCTTCAATAATATTCATTCTTTAAAATTAAAGTGCTGTTAAAATTACAAGGCCATTACTGAACTCTCAATACTTAATGTACTCAAAACACTTCATCCAGAATATAAAAAGAGGAATATTATGAACATTGATCTGTCTAAAGATTGACAGAAAAATAAAGTCAGTTATTCACATGGCAAATACACGGAATATCTGTTTCATCAAAAGTGTGTACATTTCCTTAAATTGGCTATTTTCTCACACCTACATACAATCACATAGCTTTTGGTAAAGCATCCATCCCCAAGAAATCCATTAGCCGGAAAGAAAGAAATATGGACTAAGAGTCAATTTTCACCTCCTCAAGGTAACACAATAGGTTTATTATATCTTCTGCAAACCCATTCAAAATGCTGAGAAAACTTTCCACAGTGAAAACAAACAAACAAAAATCTACCCAGGGGAAGAAAAAAAAAAACATTCACTTTGGATTTTTTTTTTTAAAAAAAAAACATTTTGGAAAACATTGAAAAACAGCGACACAGAGTTAAGCCACTTTAGCAAACGACTCATAAAATTAATAAAAAAAACTTTCTGAAAAGTGTACAAGATTAGGGGAAAGGAAGAGTGGACATTCCTACCACCCCTTTGCTTGCCGATCTGGCAGCCCCCTTAAAAAAAAATCTTCCAACGCCACTTGGGACGCAACACTTGCTGAAAGTTTGGATGGGCATTTCGGTGAAGGCTGACCAAGGACAAGAAACGGCGGCACGAAGGAAAGAAGAGCCCCTTCTTCTCCAAAGACGGGACGGGAACCACACCGGACCCAAACTAATAAGCTCCCCCGCCACCCACCCCCGCCCACCTCCAAGTCAAAATACGCGCAAAATAATGTCCCAGCGGAGGATGGAGCGTGCATACCGTCACCAGGGCAGGAGAAGGCCCGCAGAGTGAAGACCCCCCCCGAGTCCTTCGGCCGGGAGCTTGACCGCATCGCCTCCAAACATCGCCTTTCCGACAAGTGCGCTCGCCAAAGTGCCCCAATGCGCGCAAAGCTCGCCGGTGCGCTCCCCGGAGGCGCTTCGCAAAACCCAGGACCTGCAGAAGAAAAAGCGGCACCGGGGGCGGGAAGGGAGGGGGGGGAGGACACAAGACGGGGATGTTTGGAAGCGGGGAGCGGGGGGGGGGGCTCCCGAGTCCCGTCCACTCACCGCGGTCTGCTGCTGAGCGTCTGGCACCGCCCGAGTTCCCCGACCCCGCCGGCGCTCGAGGAGAGAAGAGAGCGAAGGAGCCTCCCGGCGCTTAAAGGCAGCCGTCACCGCTCGGGCTTGAAAGTCCGCAGCCGGCAAAGGCGCGATTCGCTTTCCCTTCGAGGGAACGTGCCCTCCGAAGTCCTCACGAGGTCCCAGTGAGCATGTGCGCGCGAGCTTTGCACATGCCCACTTAGGACCGGGATGCTGCCGCCCTGCCCTTACCTTGCCCTTCGCTTAAAAGACCGGCGGGCTTTCGCGCGTAACCCGAAGGCGAGAGTGAGGCGCCGGCCGCTTGGAAAAGGGACCGGGTGGTGGGGTGTGTGGGTGTCTTGAGCGCGCGCCGGTGTGGGAAGCATAAAAGTAGATGGTGGGTGTGCAAGGGAGGAAGAGGAGGAGGAGGCAGAGGAAGGCAAAGAAAAGGAGACCCCGGTCAACGGGGGAAAGACGTCTTGCAATTAAGGATTTCGGGGCGGAGGGGACCTAAGTGGGGGGGGGGCACAAAGGCTCCCCTGACGAGGTTGCTCACATGCGGAACCTCTCCAGTTACCTTTCGTTGCGTTGTTGTAACCCGAGGCGGCTTCTCTTCTGGCCGATTACATCGCGCAAGAAACACGAGAGTTAATGCGGAGGGTTAGGAGGACTAACGCTCCGCTGGACTCGCTCCGTGCGCGCCTCCAACTCTCAAATCCACTTCCTTTCAGAATTACTTTGGGGAGCCCAATTCGTCGAGCGGGACCCATCCACATTGTGGCCCAATATTTGAAAGCTTGAGGAGAGTCGGTTCTTAAATTTGAAAGAGGCCAGCTCTGAAGACCGCAGTTCTAATACAGATAATATGGGAATAATAAACCCGGTTGAAATCAGTTGGATTTATTTCTGTAACCTATAGGTAGAGGATACAGGATATTATTACCGTAATGGGTTTGCTACTTTGCTTCCACCTTTCCATACATTAGGTATAATTGCATAATGTGTCCAAAGTATGATAATTGGAGCCTGGTCATTTATGCCTCAAATAAAAATTCTGGGTTGATTAGTTCAATGATCCGTTTGGTTTCTTGGCTGTCTTCAGTATTCTCAGGAGTCATCTTCAACACCTAAGTTCAAAAGCATTAATATTATTTCTGTCCTGTTCTTCAAAATCCAGAAAGTGGAGATGTTTAATTTTTTAAAATTGTAGAAAGGTGGATTCAGATTTTAATATATAAATATTCTAGATCTGTCAAAGTATTTAATGCTATTTAAAGTACTTTATATCAGTTTGTGGGGAAAGCACCACTCGTGTTATAGTCACCTGTGTTTAGCATATTTTCATTGCAGCAGAGATAATTACAGAGACTATGAAGTCCCACAATTCATGTGAAATACTGCAATCCTACATGTGGTCTATACAAATAAATATAATGAAATCCCTTTACATCGAAATAATGGCAGTAGTAGTTAATATTGTCTGTTGTGGTGTATAATTTATGTAGTGCACCTTCCTTTTCATCAGTGTTATTCAATCTCAGCAAGGTTTAAGATTTATGGATTTCCATTCCCAGAATTCTCTAGCTGGCATGATAGTTGGGGTATTATGGGAATTGAAATCCATACATGTTGCTGAAATCCAGATAGGTTGCTGAGATTGAGAAACACTGCTTCATGTAACTAAATTCATGAAAACTGTGATTATACTACCTGAGACTTCTCAGGAAACAACAACTGAATGAAAAACCGCTGGTGATCTTCTACTGCTGCACCATAGAGAGTATTTTAACTCACTGCACCTGTGTATGGTTTGCCAATTGCACAGTGGCAGATAGGCCAGCACTCCAGAGGGTCAACTTCATTGCCCAGAAGATCATTGGTTGCCCCCTCCCCTCTTTGGAAGAGCTTTATAGTTCCCGCTACCTTAAAAAAGTTCAAAACATTACTGAAGATCCATGTCATCATGGGCAACCTTTTTTTGAACTATTACCATCTGGCAGACGGTACAGGACAATAAAAACAAGGACAAATAGGCTGAAAAAACAGCTTCTATCCCACAGCAGTAACTATATTGAATTCTAATGTATAGTGCAATATTAATGCAATATGAGAGGTTTTCAATTCAATTGTATAGAATGTGAAGGATGTGTGTTTTTGTTTTATTTTTTATATATAATGTACACTGAAGATGGCATTTAATTTCGTTGTACAAGGTGCAATGACAATAAAGTAAATTAAACTGGAGCTGTCATTAAGAGAAACTGAGGTGTTACCGGTATATGAGGTTACAGATTAAAAATAAGGAGAGTCAGATTTAGTTGATAAAACTGTGGAACAATGCCAGAAAATCTGAGGGCTGTTGCCTAGTCTGGGAAATTAAACTACTCTAGAAGAAGTGGTAGCCAACCATGTTTGTATTGTTGCCAAGAAAAATAGATGGATATTTGGACTGAACCCCTTAAATATGATATTTTTATTTTATTTTATTGTTTATTTCAACATTTCTACATTGCCTTCTCAGGATTCAAAGTAATTTAATGTTTCTGAATCACTGAATTGGATACATGGTAATGCTTCAATAAGTATCATATATTTATTCAAGCTTCATATGCCAATCATTTTTTTTGTTTGTTTATCTTTTTGAGAACAATGTTCATCCTTGCTGTACGCATTATTATTATGGATCATTGCACAGTCAGCCAATGTTCGGGATTTGGCATTTTTATCCACGTAACATATATTAAGATGTCTAGATCTGTTAGCGTTCTTAATGAGCAGACTCATGGAATATTAGGCTTTGTAAGAAATTATAATAGCAGTTCTTTAGTTGCAATCCTTTCAGCTTTGTGTACCAGAAATCATGATGCCTAAAAATATAAAGAAGTTATTGTTAAAAGAAGAAACAGCAGCAGCCGAACAGTTTCTCTCATAAAATATGGAAGGCTCTTTTTAGAAAAACAAAGTAACTGCAGAGAAGCATCTGAATTCAAAACCTTAAAATCAGCCCACTTCAAGATTTTGTTTCAGCCTCTGATAATGCAATGCAAATTAAGTTTTAACCAGGCAGCTGGTTTTGCTATAATTTGTTATCCCACATTTGAATCCCAAATGTGTCCAAAAAGAAACAAAGGCCTAGCATCATTTACTAAGACGTTGGCCAACATTTTGCCGTATATTTTGGCATAATCCTCACTTCTACATAAATTCTTGGAAGTTTCTTTTGCAAATGTGACTGTTTAACACATCGTGCTAAGCTTGAATTTATTTTTACCATAATTTGTAGAGAACAAACAATAGTGGCCTGAATCATACATAATGCAAAACCATAAACTATGCTTTCTTCACATAATTTCTGGTTTCACAAAACACACTAAGGCAAAACCAAAGCATATTATTGCTATATTTGTGTCAGGAGCACTGAAGTACTTCTGAGTTGAAAGGATTGAACTATGATATCACCATTGCCCAGGGGATGCCCAGTTGACTCCTTTCATGTCCCTGTTAAGTTGCCCCAAAGTGGTACTCACCTATCTACTCACAGTCGCCTACTTTCAAACTGCTGGGTCGGCAAGAGCTGGACCATGTGATGGGAGTTCACCCCGCCCAGTAGCAGCACTAGGTCTCAAACACAAACCTGCTAATTGTCAGTCCAGCATCCTAATTGCATGAGCCATCGCACTCCATCATTATGGCATATTGTGATATGTGAATCTAACCACAGTGAGTCAAGAAATCCACAATTAAGTCCAATGTTCAATTCTTCTTAGAAGTAGTGTTTTTTATTACCAGAATCATATCTATGTTATGATCCCTGATCCATGAATCTGGATTCCAGTGGTAAAAGGGGACTGGGAATATTCATATGACACCTGTCAATTGAGCAGCTCCTTAAATCAGACAAATATTTTCTAGAAGATGCAACTTTTTAACCTAGTTTCTTGACAAGTGTAACATCAACACCAGTGGTGGGTTTCAATTTTTTTTTACTACCGGTTCTGTGGGCATGGCAGGGGAAGGATACTGTAAAATCTACATTTCCACTCCACTCAATGGGAAGGATACTGCAAAATCCCCATTTCCTCCCAATCAGCTGGGACTCGGTTGGCAGAGAATAGCTGATGGATGGGCCAGTCAGAATTTTTACTACCGGTTCTCCGAACTACTCAAAATTTCCACTTCCGGTTCTCCAGAACTGGTCAGAACCTACCTCTAGATCCAGGCCCATTCGAAACCATCCCTTCAGATCCAGATCATTGCAGAATCCTACTCTATAATATATAATGACAAGATTTACTTTTTTTCTGAAATCCTGATTGTTTTTTAAATCAATCAAAATATGGGGATATGTATTGTTTGGAATTGCATTCTTAAAAATTCAACCTCCACCTGAACTTTGTTGAAAGTTTATTTTTGTGCATGAGCCTATATGTGAATGGACTCTAATATAACCATATCAGATGGTTATATATGCCCTGTTAAAAGCATAGAATAGAAACACAGCTTAATTCACATAAAATTATGTTGGTGCAGCCTTTTGTGTCTGAAGTCTGAAAAAAATGAGGTTTACTTTAATTAAAAGCAGAAAGATGCTGTGCTGGTACAAAGCAAAACAAATCTAACAGTTTTCAAATCATGCATCATCTTAATAATTACTATAATGTAAAAGGAACATCGAGGGCACGTTTTATGTAGTGGTTTAAGACATAGGCTAAAAACAGACAATCATGAGTTCTAGCACAAAGTTGGTGGGCCAATCACTTTCTCTCAGCCTTGGAAAGGATGCAATAAACCAGTGCTGAAAACTCTTGCCAAGAAATCTCCAGAGATTTCTTCAAGCAGTTACCAGAAGCCAAACTGACTTGAAGGCACACACACACACACACACACACACACACACAGAGAGAGAGAGAGAGAGTGGGGGAGGGAGGGAGGGAGGGAGAGATGAAGATTGTGAGCAGGTTAATTATGTACTTTATTCTGTTGAATAGATGGGATTGATGAACAACTTTGAGGCCTTTTATTTTTCCTTCTTATGGGTCTCCCAATTCTATTTTGATTAGACTCTCTTTTTAACAGAGCAGTTAGGAGCTCAGGAGGCCACTGGGAAGTGGTCTACAACACTCAGTAATGTGATCATTTCAAGAATTGAAGTCCACTTATTCAAGGGATACCCAGATTAGGAGAAACTGAAAAAACAGAATAAC